CAAAAAATGGAAGCGTCAAAAAAAATAAATGCTCAGCCAAATATAGGTGAACGAAAAAGCTTCTCCACACTTTTCACAAACATGAAATCATTTCTGGCGAAAACAAGCAATCAGTCATCTATGCCTAGCCTATCCTCGCAAATGAATTAAGCTAGAAGACCACTACAGGTCCAGCTTACGTGATCTGACTGTGAATTATATTGTACCTTTATTAATGAAGTAGGCTGATTTAGGTAACTACCCTACAGGGGGAGGTGTTGTGACTCTTTACAGTACCCCGGCACTGTGGACGGAGCCTAGTAAAGGCTGCTATGTAAAAATGATTTTGGTAAAATAATTGATATTTTTCATCATAATTTTTATGTAAATAAGTAGGCTATAAATAGCAGTCTAATTCATAGAAACCTTCAGTTTTACTGTCTTGACATTGGAAGGCAGATAAAGAGTTTTCGCTGAAGTGTTCATGAACACAAAATGACCCATCAAAGCGAATCACAAAGAGGTTGCGTGAACCGACTTCTTCCGCACACCTACTTTACCGACGTTACTGCAGTTCTATACAGGTTGGCTCAAAAAATAATCAGACGAATGATTTCTAGTCGTTTGTATGAAAAAGTTGGACGTTTTTTTTAGTACCATGCTGCTACCTTCAATTTAGAATCACAGCATTGAGCGAGTAAGTGATGGCGAAGTAGTGAAAAGTAGGGAAAGTAGTAGTGATTTCAGTGAAATTAGACTAAAAGATTTATAACGGTAGTTAATCCACAATTGCAATTGGAGCTTCCTACATTAATGAAAAACCCAACAACGATAAAGAATAGTGATTTGCTTCATGCGTGAATTTGGGTTAAGCCCAGCTCTGCAACATGGTTTCGAGAGACGCCAGGGCCTCGTAAACAGGAAAGTTGTTCAAATCCAAACAAAATGAAATCAAACAAACGTTTCGGGGCAACGTGTTTGAACGCACAGTCCACTCTGAGTTGAGGGCAGAGGTGCGATAGGGGGAGCCGGGTTCCCCAAAAGTGAAGGTGGTCCCTGCTACCACTGGCTGCCAAAAGTGAAGGTGGTAGTGCCGGACGCTCACCTCCCAAAAATGTCGACCGGGGGGGGGAGGGTCGCAGCTACCACAGGGCAGCAAAAATGAAGGTGGTAGTGCCGGACACTCACCTCTCAAAAACGTTGACCGGTGGTGGGGGTAGAGAGGGGGGGGGGAAGCATAGAACTGAGCTATCCTTTCACGTCGTTGCCGGCCGCGAATGCCTTCACTTTTGGGTTTTGATTTTTTTTGCTGAAACTGAAAAAAAGGAAATTAAGCAAAACGAACGCAAAAGAAAGTATTGAGAGCATATTCTATGTAGTTTACTTTTAGGAAGTCGCCGTCGCCCACTGCGGCACCTGGAGGCCATCACCGACATGGACGCATATACGCCTCAGCACTTTCTCCGATAGAGCAAAGCTTCATGATGACTTCGGACAAATGAAGAGCTCTAACCCAACGGTCCTCTTTAGGGCCAATAACTGCGACCCAACGGCCCTCTTTAGGGCCACAGATACGATGAACACAGCGGCATAAATATTCGAAATAAACGTGTCAATGAAATGGTGTATTTTGAAGTGAAACTCAACGACACTCTACAGATTTTATTAAGTAAATTTAGTTATGTCGTACTGCGAAGAAAGTAGGTCGATCCAGGAAGTATTTGCCGAGAACCAGAATTTTGAATGAAAAAATAACCGGAAATCATGCAAAATGCCACTGTTATAAACCAAGTGGTTGAAGATGTCAGCAACTGCGACTTCATAGGTTTAAAAGGGTAAGTGTTGCTCTAACAGATAGTGAAAGAATCGGGTCGATTTGAGCAGTGGTCGCTGAGAACGAGAATTTTGAAAAATTAGGCGATTTTAGGCTAATTTTTGACTGCTGACATTTGAACTCCTAAAACTCTTGATTGTGAAGATGTGTGATGTTGCGACTTCATAGGTTTTCTAGGGTAAGGTTTGCCCTACTAGAATATATCTTACCCGTACCAATTCATCAAAGCGCCGCCGAGATCCAGGCTCTTGAAAAAGCAGGTAAAAAACAGCTTTTTGAACTTCAACAGCTCGTAACTTCTCCAGAACTGCATGAATCATGTTGCGACTTCATAGGTTGAATTCTTCTTGTCAAGAGCTTTCAGATGATGTATAATATGTGGGGGTTTCGCGCCTCTTACGGCATATGCCCGGGGGGGGAGACTTTTTAGGCCAAATTCTCCCCTGGCGGCCTCCAGCCAATACATTAAAATGGGCGAGGGGGAGACTTTGGCCTAAAAAGTCTCCCCCCCCCGGTCATACGTCGAAGAAGGCCCCAAACCTCCATATATCATATATCATCTGAAAGCCCTTGATGAGAGGAATCTAACCTATGAAGTCGCAACATGATTCATGCAGTTCTGGAGAAGTTACGAGCTGTTGAAGTTCAAAAAGCTGTTTTTTACCTGCTTTTTCAAGAGCCTGGATCTCGGCGGTGCTTTGATGAATTGGTACGGGTAAGATATATTCTAGTAGGGCAAACCTTACCCTAGAAAACCTATGAAGTCGCAACATCACACATCTTCACAATCAAGAGTTTTAGGAGTTCAAATGTCAGCAGTCAAAAATTAGCCTAAAATCGCCTAATTTTTCAAAATTCTCGTTCTCAGCGACCACTGCTCAAATCGACCCGATTCTTTCACTATCTGTTAGAGCAACACTTACCCTTTAAAACCTATGAAGTCGCAGTTGCTGACATCTTCAACCACTTGGTTTATAACAGTGGCAATTTTGCATAATTTCCGGTTATTTTTTCATTCAAAATTCTGGTTCTCGGCAAATACTTCCTGGATCGACCTACTTTCTTCGCAGTACGACATAACTAAATTTACTTAATAAAATCTGTAGAGTGTCGTTGAGTTTCACTTCAAAATACACCATTTCATTGACACGTTTATTTCGAATATTTATGCCGCTGTGTTCATCGTATCTGTGGCCCTAAAAAGGGCCGTTGGGTCAATTGTTGGCCCTAAAGAGGACCGTTTGGTTATAGCTTTTTAAATCGAAATTCGTCCCGAAGCTATCTTCTCCGATTTCGTGGAAAGGCGGAAAAGTGGATGCGTCCATGGCGGTGATGGCCTTCGCTTCCGATGGGTGACGGCGAGTTCCTAAAACTGCAATACATATGTATATGCCTTCAATAATCCCTTTTGCGTTTGTTTTACTTATTTTCCTTCTTTATATTCAACAAAAAAGTTTTCGCAAAAGTGAAGGTGGTCACTCTGTATCAGCTCAAAAGTGAAGGTAGGGGGAGACTTGGCTCCCCCTATCGCACCTCTGGTTGAGGGTCTTGAGTTTCTAGCAGCATATGATAGTAGGGCTCCCTATCTAGTCAATGCCCAAGTCGCGGCGCAATATGTGGCTCCAAGGGCGAGAAAATTGCTTTGGAGTAAAGAAGATGCACGACGATCTTCAGACGGCATCGCCCTCCCCATTCTGCCCGCCCATCCGTGCGCGCTCATATAATCACCATTCTGGAACCAGCTTATGAGTTCTCTAAAACGGGAATTGTCGAGGTTTTCGCGCCTGAATACTCGACTTCATATTCATCACGAGAAGGTCCTAAACGACAAGAACCAGGAAGTCCAGAATCTGCGTCGACGGTGCCTTTAAGAAAATGCCCTCGTCGGTGTTCATTCTGATTGATATTAGGTTGTGTAATGAGTCCTGTCGCATTTTTTCTTTTGAGATGTCCCAAAAGTAAGTACACACTTTTCAATCGTTAACATCTCTCTTCCCGTTGAGTCTTTATTCGCCATTCAAGTACCATTCTGTAGGGGAGGCTTCGACTTAGATTTACAGTACGAATCACCAGTCACTTTTTATTACTGTAGGATTACTGTAGAAACTTCGACAAGGATTTCAGGTCATTAAAAGCCATATTCTGCCTCGAAACAAAACCAAACAAGCCAAAAAACATCATACTATAATAATGGAAGCTGCTGATTTCGAATATAAAATTTCCACTTTACTGCGATGCTTCTTTCCAAGGTTATCAGGTTCCCAGGTAAACCGTAATAACCGTATTTCCAGTATTTGTCAGAAATGTGATTACACGGTCAAAAAAGCTGAAAATGTTCGTAAAAAGTTGTGTAGTGGAATCAGTCTGCGCGAGAATTCCAGTACACGATTTTTCAGATTTGTTGTAAAAATTTTGTCAGATGGCATATTTCATAATGGTTCCATATGCAGGAAGTTCTTACCGTAATCCTACAGCAATGAAGAGCGATCGGTGAATCGCTCCATACTGTAAATCTAAGTTGGTGCTTCCTTTACAGAACGGTTTTTGAACCGTGGAAAAAGATACAGTGGGAAGAGAGATATTGACGATTTGAAAGTGTGTACTTACTTTTGGGACACCCTGTATATTGGCACAACTTTTCAAGTTGAAAGTCAAAGAGAAAAATGACTATGAAGTAAAGACTGTGGGCCGCTAGGGATGGAAAATGCAGCTTATGCAACAAGGCGCTTCTGTTCAATATGTATTTATGGTAACGAGCAATGAAATAGCACTTGAGAATGGATAAACTATATATCTACACCTTAAAAGCTTCCGAATAAAACTTTTTTAAAGGTGCGCTTTCTTTTCCAAAGGGATGCTCATGTTTCGACCCTAAGCCAAAGTTTTTAGCTTTATTTGATCATTTTCCAAAATGACTGCCTGTTCCACATGACTCGGATCACGAGCGATTGCAAGCCCCTCCAAAATGTAGAGCTTAGTTAAAACCAGCATTTAGTCGTGAGTCCTTCATCCCCGAAAAAACGAGGGAGTTAGAGATCTTTCTTCCAAACAGTTTACCTAATTTGAAGGTATTCAACAAAAAACGAAGGCAAGTGATTGAATAGCTCGTAGAGCTACTTCGAAGAAAGAGTGGTTATCTAATTGGCTGCAAATATTTTCTGTGATTCAATTGATCGTTATTCTAAAACTATACTATCAAAATTTCTATTTTGATCAGACTTACTTTACAAAGTCCATCAGGTTCCTTCCAATATTTAACAGCTTCTTCAGCTGCAGCTGTTCCGTTTTCAAGAGGATGCTTTGTTCTGGAAATGTTTGCAGTAATACGATATATTATAGAATATCTGCTACGACTTACCTATAGACATAGTCGTAATCATAGTACTGAATTATGTCGGATTTTCCGTCTAATCTCAAATATGCATAATAATCCGCAGTATCGTGTGTATAGCAATTGTACTTCTAAAATGGTAAAATCAATGAAAAACCGCAGTTTATGGAGAAATGTTGTATTTCTAAATTTGAGATTATCTAAAAAGCAAAAATGGTCCTGGACATTTCGGCATAAATTCTAAATACACGAAGATGGACAATAAACTATGTGTCAAATTGCAAGTGTAAGCTCACCAGAAACACGTTGCATGTCTTATTTATTACATCCTGAAAAATACTGATCCATTCGTTTGGAAAATAACCTCCGTGATCTCCATAACTGCAGTTAGCCCTTGGTACCGGGCTTGGTCTCATTTCAGCGAGGTTCGGAGCAGGCAGCAACTGATATGGTTCTGACCAAATATATTCTTTCGAGGAACAAAACTTACAATGATGAGAAAGCAGTATAACACCCCATAGGCAATGCTCGCACATCCGCCGAACGCTTTTATGCTGTCCATTATCGACAACACTCTAAATACAGACTAAAATAGTGTGTAATCAATCACAGCAAACTAAGACCCTTTTTTGTAGAAACTTATCTTATCTGGTCTATGTATCATATGGAATTATTATTATTAATAAATCTATAAATTTTGCCATAAAAAAGGGATTTATTATTTTGTATTTGAGGTAAAAGATCCGTGAAATTACAAAATAATACTTCGGGATGATACTCCTATTATAAACGGCAAAGATCTCCACTAATGGACTTTTTCCTTGAAGGCTGCTTTGCACTGTAGATATTCTATCAAAATAAGTAGATGAATAAAAGTAATAAGTAGATGAGTAACGCACCTGAGTATAACCTATATCAATAGTAAAAAATGGATATTACATTTTTATTGTGCACTCCTGTTATACCCACTTTCGTTACCTCTCAGAAGCAGCAAAAGAGTGTAATATAATAGTAGTTGAGTTGTTCCAAGAATTCTGCTTTTGACCTATCATAATGACATGTGGAAAAGAGATAAGAGTAGAGATTCAAATCATTCGATGCAGCATTTTTTCTCCTTACAAAGGTTATATTTCTACTAACATGTTGAACAGTTCGTGCCGTTTCTTATTGTAGACCTATTCCAAGGTTCAGAATGGTGATACACATCGTTCAAACAGTATCCAATGCAGAAATACTTCCTTTTTTTCAACGGCTATGCTTACGAAGAGGTTGTTCCGACGAGCGCTGAGGTAACTGACGAAAACTAAAACCCTTCATTTCTACAGTCGAGTAAATTTTCCGCTTAATATGGTGTGCTTGCACAGAAGGTGAAAACGCGGTGAAATGTGTGCGTGAACAAATAGCCACGCCAGTACTGCCGACATTTGGCGCGCGCAATTGACCGGCGTCACAGTCGAAGCTATTTGTTCACGCGCAAATTTCACAGCATTTCACTTTCTCTGCAAGCACACTATATCAAGCGGAAAATCTGACTGTACCATGTTTAACTTTCGCTAATTTTCAGAATTTTCATTTTAGACTTTTGAATGTGTTTTGACAACGATCTGTTAGAGCAAACCTTTTGCAAACTAGTGCATTTTTTGCATTTTCCAGCTTCTTATTTATAATTAGATCATTTTACCGGAGCATTAAATTTTGAAAAAATCGCGTGACACGCAATTTCACAACACTGCGAATTCCTCAAAACATCAAAGTTCCAAAACTCGGTTATTACTACCACTAGTATTACGAAGTAAGTGAGCGACTAAAATTGCAGTAGAATATTTTCATAGGTGTTTTCGTAGAGCCTTTTGCTGATTCCGTGCCACTTACGGCTTGACATTTTGGACTTAAGAATGCTCTTCTTTCGGAAAGTTGCATTGCAATAAAGGAAAGCAAATTTGGAATCGCCGTTCAAGTACGCCTCTAGAGATATTACAGGGTGCGGCAAAAGTCTGGGAGCCTAGTACTTTTTCGTACAAAACGAGGAGGGAAGTACATAGAAACGAAAAATTTGGCGCACACATAATTCGAACCATTGCAGATACAGCCCAGTTCTTGAATTGCAAAACTGCCTCTTTTGGCTTCCACGCTGCCCTACAAAATCTTGGCAAGTCCACCTGTCATGGCACGCAGGTAATCGTAATGGAATTCGCCTCACGCCTTCACAATAACTGCTCCTTTTACCTTGGCAAATGCGCAGCGTGATAGAGCAAACTTTTGTCTACAATATATTTTCAAAAGAGTTTTTTACATTGCTTAGGAATAAAAATATTGGATTTTCAATTAGAAGCATGTGTACGTCGCATACCGGAATTTCGGCTACAATTGCGCAAATAAGAACTTAAAAATATCGTTCAAAAAGTAAAAGTGTTTCCTTAACCGAATTTCAATAGATTCTAATTTAGAAGACGTATTCAAAAAATACAGCCTTGGTCCCGGTGCCTGTTGAGCATTCTATAGCTTTTAAATTTGTTTTGAAGACGGATTTATACTAGCACGTAGGTAACATTCGCAAACTTTTATTTTCCGTTCATGCAAGAACAGCTCCTGGCAAAAGCAAAACTAGGATACAGTAGCACAAAGCCTCTTCTATGTTGTGTGCATCGAAGTTTTGTAAAATGTTAACAGCATCTCTAGTTACAGCAAAAAATGTAGATACCAAAAATTCTGGTTTTTTCGCTTTGCAAAAGTACTCGTTTCGTAATTTCCATTCTTACAAAAACATAAAACAGCCATTTCCAGCCAAATAAAGTGTATTCTGTAGAGGATGACCACAGCATCATGTGGCATAAAATCGAAACCAAAACCATCAATATCTTTGTAATTGCAGTACTGCAAAGTTTAGGCTCCCAGACTTTTGCCGCACCCTGTAGTTTGTACCAAAAGTTCTGTCATCTCAATTCTAAAAATTTGTAACTTTTTACTGTGTTAGCGGATTTGCGCCTTTTTAACTTTGTTAGAAAGAAAAGGTCTTCCTCTTTGTAGGCTTGCCTCGATGAGCTTTTACTATACATTTGTTGCAGACATAGAAATGAAAAAAGAAGACCACTCGAGCTTTCACCATTTCAAGCTAGGTCGCCAAAAGTCTGGAACGCCGCAGAAAAATCTGAATTTGGCAGTATATAAGTTTCAAAACCTATTCTCTGCATGTGAAACAATTGTGCTTTTTAGACTTTTCGATAAAGTTATAATTTTCGAGTTTACAATAGAAAACGCCCAAATTTAATTTGTCACTTTTTTCGAAAATCATAACTTTTCACTAAAACGTCCAAACAGCACGATTTTTCTCAAATGAAAGAGTATGTCATAATCTATATATTGATAATTCCAGATTTTTCTGCGGCGTTTCAGACTTTTGGCCACCTAACTTGAAAGGTCAAAGCTCAAATGATTTCCATTTTTATCTCTGTAATGAATGTATAGTGATAGCTCATCAAGAAAGGCCTGCAAAGAGGAGGACTTCTTCTTTCTAATGATATCTAATAAGAAAGACGCAAGTCCATTGAGACAGTAAAAAGTTACAAATTTTCAAAGATAAAACGACAGAACTCTCGGAACAACCTAATATATTAGGTTGTCCGGAAATTAATACAGGTTGCGCAAATTTTCAATGTAAAGTATCCCGACTTCTTTGAAATTGCATACTTCGAGATGAGGAAAAACTGCTGTCATGAGCAAGTTTCTGTTTATCTAAAGCATGTCCAGTTATACCTGTAGCTCCAACATGCAAATTACTGGAAACCGGAAAGTGAGAAGAGTTTTCTTTGACAAGGTCATCTTGAGCAAACTATGTACTCCCATCGGATATGAGTGTTCAGCGAGAAACTTTTGCAGCTTATAGTCACAAACCAGTACTACATATATAGTATGCAAAACTTTTTCTAGGAATTCTACGAAACAAATTGTTGCGGAATCAAAACTTTCTATTTTTCCGACATTATCTCTACGGCTGCGATTCCGAGAATTGTAAGTTTTCATTTACTCACCAAAAATTAAGTCCGGGAGGTAGTGATAGTACCTGATGGCATTGGCTTCACTCTTAATAAAATTTATGTCTCGCTTCGAATGGCCAGAAAAAGAGACGGTCTGCGTTGATTTTTCGTGCTTTTAGCTATCGAATAGTTAATGAATTCGGAAAGTTTGACTTTCTGTAAATCTCGTCAGAGGGGTACTGCATTAATTCAACTGTTTAGCCACGACCGAGATTAGTGTTTGTTTATTCAAGCCAACCTTTCAGTTATAATTCGCCTTCTTCAGAGTCTGAGATAGGCGAAATCAGACCCTGAAGAAGTTGAACTATATATCCATTAATAAAATTAATCAGTTTCGGTAGTGGATATATTTCCGAACAATTTGGAACGATTCCTTGTTCGGAATCGTTTGTATGACCGCAGTTGCCCTACGCCAAACTGTCCAATATGTCCAACATCAAGGGAGGGAAACTGCATGCGCGTACGGATGTTCGAATATTTCCAAATCCAATGTTCGTCGGAAGTCTGATTACACCAATAAAAGAGCTCAATAACTGGTGAAAGTTGTGTACCGGAATCAGCACGCTTGAAAACGTTACTACACAAATTTCTAGAATTTTTTTTGAAATTTTTTCAATTAAAGGCCTATTCCACAAGTGGCGCAATTTGCTGAGAGTTCATACCGTAATCCTCAAAAAAAAGATAGGAAACTCTCTTCATGAGTCTAAGTTGAACCTCGCTCTACAGAACAATATCTTAATCTCGGCAAAAGACATGGAAGCAAGAGGATTATTAAGTGTTCACATTTTTGGGACACCTTGTATATTAAAACTGTATTACTAGCTGGCAAACCCGGCTCCCTCTGAGCCTCTCAATAATATTTTCGTAATCAGCATGCACACTTACCTTCTGTACCAGCTCCTGACCTCGTAGGTGAAACTTCGCAAATTTGGAAAAATCGATATCGATCAATAACAAAAAGTAGAATTCGACGCCCCCCCCCCCCCCCCGAAGTATGTGCCCCAGCATTAGTCCAAAAGCCAAATTTGAAATTTCTCTTTGAAAACGTAAGGACATACATACAGACATGCAAGCAGACATCCAGCTTTATTTATATGAATAAGTGCGAAGTTTTATGCTAAAAAAATTGCTTACTGAGCGTCGTTTTTTGAAAAAGCTGAACCGAGAAATTGACACAAAATGGTGAATTCTGGAACCATTCTATGATGTATAAGAACTTTAGGTGGAAGCAATCGCAAAGTTTTCACTCTGTTCTTTGCCCATGTCAAAATGCAAAAAAAGTGAGTAACTCGGAGTTTTGGTATCATTTTCGCAGGAAATTCCCCTAAAATTTAGGTTCCATTCTTTAATTTGTCCGGCCATTGACTAAGCTGTTATCAAAATTTATGCTAGCGTATTTGAAAGTGAATCATGCTTTCTAGAACAAGACCTTCCCAAGAAGATTTTATTGGCAATTTCCGCGCTAGGAAATCGTAGCGCTAAAATCAAAGTATGTTTTGTGTACTTAAAGGTTGGTTACTTATAATGA